GATGTGACTTCTATATGCACTCATGTATCAAATTTTATTTATTTTCTTTCATTTAATATTTAAAAGAAAAACATGAATTTTTTTATTTTAAAAGAAACACTGAAAAACAATAAAAACTTATATAAATAAGAGAACTATTGTAAAAATAAAACTATTTACCCACATGTACTGTCAATTGATTGCCCTTTTCTTTTAGGTGAAATTATCCCTTAGGTGCACCTATAATTATGATGTAAAATTAATTAGCTTCTGTTTAGTTTAATTTTTTTATTAATTCTAGATTTTCTATTATTATTTTCATAATCTATTTATTTAATTAGTTTCTTTACGTAATATATATATATATATATATATATATATATATAGGAAAATCCAAATTGATTTTATGTTCAAGCTTCTAATATTTTTGTAGCATACCTAACTTTAATAGCAACTTAATTATTAAATTTAAATTTCTTAATTTCATTTTAGCATTAAATAATTAGAAAAGAAAATTAATTATTTAAATCAAGATTCATACCTTAAGTTCTCTTTTCCTCTTTTCCACCTCGCCAATTACCCGAAATAAATTTAAACAAAATTACATTAAATTTTGGATATCTTGAATTAAATTTCAATTATTTACAATTATTAACTTTAAAAATTTATTAATACATTACTTTACCTCTATTTGAAATCCTTGGTCATAAATTTTGCGAACCAAGTGGTAAGGCTCACCCAGGCTCTTCACGCACGCAGGACCTATCCCTTCTCCTAGAGTACATGATCTAGTACTCGTACAAAGATGCACAAAAGCTAGGAAACGGCTTGCACATCTCTTCTTCAATTCAATTTTGGATATCTTGAATTAAATTTCAATTATTTACAATTATTAACTTTAAAAATTTAAGCATACCTAACTTTAATAGCAACTTAATTATAAACAAAATTTAAATTTAAAGTTCTTAATTTCATTTTAGCATTAAATAATTAAAAAAAATTAATTATTTAAATCAAGATTCATACAATAAGTTCTTTTTTCCTCCTTTCCACCTCGCCAATTACCCTAAATAAATTTAAACAAAATTCCATTAAATTTTGGATATTTTGAATTAAATTTCAATTATTTACAATTATTAACTTTAAAAATTTATTAATACATTACTTACCTCTATTTGAAATCCTTGGTCATAAATTATGCGAACCAAGTGGTAAGGCTCGCTCAGGCTCTTCACGCACGCAGGGCCTATCCCTTCTCCTAGAGGACACGATCTAGTACTCGTACAAAGATGCACAAAAGCTAGGAAACGGCTTGCACATCTCTTCTTCCCCCCCTCGATTAACTCTCGATGAAATTTGTAGACTACGTAAGCGATCACTCTTTTCAGTTTTCCTCTTTGTTTCCTGCTTCTTCTCCCCTCTCTTCCCTTTTTTCTTCTTCAGCTTATTTTCCTTCAACTTCTTCCTTCTTAAGCTTCTTCTTCCTTTCTCTTAGTCCCTCACGCTCTCTCTTTTTCTTGTGTGGGATGGGTTTCGAATGAAAGGGGATGAGGGAAAAGTCATAGTTATAGTCTCCCATGAGTGGTAGTTTCCCTTTTGAATGATGCTGTGAAACAAGGTGTCGTGATAGATAAATTTAATTTATTTTCATTTTCTTAATGATTTTAACATTTTAAAATAAAGATTATTATTACAATCTATTCTCCTTATAAAAATTCCGTCCTCAAAATTTAAAGTACAAGAATATGGTTTATATATTAATTGAACAGGTGTGCATATATTTCTCTCTTTTCTAATTAATTCTCCCATGTGGCATCTTTTTCAGTTCCATGTTTCCATAATACACAAATAAAAATAATCTTTCTACTCCCGAGCTACTTCACATGATAATCTATGATTCTTTCTGGCTCTTTCACAAATGCCAGGTCAGGTTGAACATCTATGCGATCTATGAGAAGCTTACTAGCTTCGTTAGCAATATACTTCCATAGTAAGGAGTTATCAAACACATTATGTACCCTATATCTATATGCTGGTAATGCAAGTCTGCCCATTTCTTGCCCATTAGACAGACAAATCCAATTGAAAAGTTAATCAAGTTATGGCAGAGGATGTGATGAACCCGTGCACGATAAAAAAAATGGTAAAGATGTATCTTTTGGTGCAAAATTTGAGGGTACCTACGCATATAATTTTGAGGATGCCTTCGGGTATGACAGTAGTTCTGATGAATCTTAAAGAGTTTAAAAATGGTAATTACTTAGATTAAAATAGGAATGAATAAATTTAAAATGAAAACTTACAATTTTATAAAGTAATGAATTACAAATCTGTCATTCATGCATAGTGTTTACATAAAAAATTTAATGCATATTCTTACTGTTGAATTTAATATTTTCTTTCAGGAAAAAAAAAACTATAGATTGATAAGACTGACAAGACTTTAGTTATAGGAGGAGGGCAACAGTTGATAAGTATCATGTTAAGATGTGATCGTAGTTTCTTTTGGTACTGTTTTCTTTAGGATAGTGATATACAATTATGTGTTGGTTTGAGATGTCTACAAACTATGTAGTTATTTCTGGATGTGTTGATTTTATGTGTATTATAGTTTGTGGATTCTTAGTGACTTTTGTATATTGGAAGTTTCTAGAAATATGTGGATCTTTATTTAAATGTTAATACCATCCGACCGTAGTTCTTGACTTGGTTTATTCTAAGCTATCAGACTGTATTGTGAAAGCATTGATGACCGAGGCAGCCTCATCATCGCTCTTACTTGTTTCTCCTTCCATGATCTCAATCACATGGGTAAACCTTTCGTCATGTCTTGCTTTTGGCCCTTTGCATGCGCCTGATTGAATCACGTCGTGCTTGCCGCTCGAGCTCGCGGGCAATGGAAGCTTCTCTGTTTGCTTCCACTCGCTATCTCTCTCGCTCCATTCATCTTTGCCTTTCCTTCCCCGTCCTCTTATTAGCACAAAGAAGACAACTATTGGTTTAGTCAAATCTGCATTAGCGGTTCATCTTCTTTATATATGAGATATTACAGTATTCCTCACTTACAAAAATTTGTCCTCAACATTTTCATTTCATAGATATATTTTATGAGTATATGATCCACTCCAAACTAAAATTTCTCATGACTTAATCTCGTAATTATCCTAATGGCTCTTTCGATATAATTCATATTAGTTTATTTAAACTAGATCTAATACTACTTTTATCATAATATGAATTTTTGATCATCCATTCTTTCTATAGCAAGCTCTCATCATGACTTTTTCCACCTTCATTGATCTCTTGAAGAATTTTTGGCCTTTGTCTTATCGTGAATGCTACTTCAATGAGCTCCCACCGTGGCTAACTCCTTCAAGGCGTTCTTTAGTCAAGCTCACTAGCTTGAGGTATTAGGTAATTTGATAAGTTGATCTCGAGCATAATTCGAGCTTATGCATGAGCTCGAATTATGCTTAAGCTTCAGTTTGAGCCTACTTTGAGTTAGGCTTCTAGAGCTTGAGTTGTCTATGATCGAAACTTGACTTGACTCGTTTGCACCTTTGAGAAGTATAACATGGAAGTTGCTATTTTAGAGCAGACTGTGAAGTTTATAACGAAGAAAAAAAATAAAAGAAATTTAAAAAGATATGGGAAATTGTTCCAATATAATTGTGATGATAGGAAAAAAATGAAGTGTGAAGATCGCATGGATTCAGAGCAACTATGTATGTGATTCGTACATAATTAAACCATCTATCATAGTAACCATAAATAAGAGGCATGAACATCATGACCAACCAATAAAGAACAGTGTGAAGATTGCATGGATTGTGATGAAAGGAAAAAAGGTATAGGAAAATGTTCCAATATATATGTGATGAAAGGAAAAAAAATGAATGAAAGTGTGAAGATGGCATGGATTCAGAACAACTAAGATGCGATTTGTACACAATTGAACCATCTATCATAGTACTGAAAGGTGATCCCATGATGGATAGGGTGCTAATCGCTAAAAGAAAGATGAAAATAAGTAGGAGAATAATATCTCATATGAAAGTTAAGTATAAACCAATGTCTATTTGTCCATCTATCCAAAGATTGTGATTTTTTTCAAAGATATATTTCAATTTGGGTTGACATGTGAACAAGAGATTAATAGAGATGTTTAATATCTCATTGAATCTTAAGTCACTCAAAAAGAGCATTCAGTAGAAATATATGACCAAAATATTAAAGATGCATATATGATTATAAATTGGAGAACTAAGAATGTTAAAGCTTGGTTACAGAACACTAAAGAGCTGCTAACAGAGAAGTACTGATGAAATGTGGGCAAATGCTAGGTATCTAAAATTTTAGTTTAAGAGTAGATATCACATACCAAATAGGACTTGAGTAGGAATGACTACGAGTACGAACTGAATTGATATGAAAATGTTTCTCTGGTGTTGTCCACACCAAGTTATTTTTGTTCAACTTTTTTGAACAATAAAATATTTAATAAATATAAAGTAAGATCAGCATTAAAATATATCTTATATCGAATCAATTTAAAAAAATTGTACGACATTTGATCCACTAAAATTGTAAACTCATTATGATAGATTAATTATGAAGATCAAAATAGTGAAATAGGTTGAAAGTGTAAGATTATTTGGATAAGACTAGAAGAGCAAAGAGCATCTCTTTCATGTGGGAGTTGTCTTTGTTGCTTCTCCCAAGGTTGCTTATGAGGCCCGTTCATCTCCTCCACCGTGGCATAATAGGATGTAGTTTTATAGAAACTATTACTGCTTTGAATATCCAAAGGAAAATGAAGAATATTTTGTTAATACTAATAGTGGGGTAGCTATATGTAATCACGATTTGTGTGTGTGTGTGAGGATGTCCTTTTATAAAGCAATTAAACTAACCGTCCCTTCTGTTTGCTCCAACCTGTTAGACAGACAATTGATGAACTTTGTTTAGCAATTAATTCTTCTTGTAGATCCTTTTTGATCTGTATTTTTTTTTAATCCCAGGTTCGATCTGTACTTTAGAAAGAACCCCTTTGGTGGTGAATACACAGTCTTTGGTGGTTTAGAAGAATGTATTCGTTTAATTGCTAATTTTGAACTTAAGGAGGAAGAGATTTCTTTCTTGCGCTCTGTAATGCCTACATGTGAGGTAAAGTTTGTTCATTATGCATCGTCTATTATTATTTCATCTACCCTTGTTTCACATATTTTGTTAGTTAACCACTCTCCTAAAAAACAATGATGAGAGAGAGAGAGATAGAGAGAGAAGAAATGTGCATATCACAGTCATGAAACTGGAGAGGATTAGTGAAATACCTTATTCTGTTTGTGGGACAATAACAAGAGCTTTCCACTCCACTAGATTCCCTAAATCTGAAATGGTATGGGATGTGCTTTGTAGGATGGTTTCTTTGACTATCTCAGGGCCCTTGACTGCTCAAATGTTGAGGTTTATGCAATCTCAGAGGGTTCCACTGTATTTCCCAAAGTTCCTCTCATGAGAGTTGAAGGACCTGTCGCAGTGAGTACCCTGAGCTCATTAATTTGTCTACAAAACAAAACATTCCTAGGTAGGACAATGCTTGTGAAAATCTCTTCTACCTTTGAACAATTTATCTCTTATTTTGTTCTAATTAAAGGATGTTTATCTATGCTTCTTTTTTTTAAATGAACATAATTTTCACTTTGTTAGGTGGTTCAATTACTTGAAACTCCTTTTTTGAATCTTGTCAATTATGCCTCATTGGTTACTACAAATGCTGCAAGACATCGATTTGTAGCAGGGAAATCAAAAGCTTTGCTTGAGTTTGGGCTTCGACGAGCACAAGTAGGCATTTCCTTTCTCTCTCTTTTTGAGGCACCAACTATCCAGCTATTTTCCACGAAATCCCTTTCTGTGTTCTAACATGCAGGGTCCTGATGGTGGGATAAGTGCATCAAGATACTGCTATATGGGTGGATTTGATGCAACAAGGTTTTAAATTTAAACTCATCCTCTCAGAAGCAGTACTTTCGCTTCTTTTACTGTACTTGAGTTCCTACACTACCGTCTCTTTCATGACTTCTAGGTGGTAACTCTGTTATTATTCAATTTTCTCAACTATAAACTTGCCAAGTAAAAATCCTTCGTATTTGCTACTATCATATGCTCTAGAAAGCTAGAAACAGGAAGCATTATTGGAGGGCGAGTACACTAGTAAGATGATAGATTTACTCTTTCGGAACATATGAACAATAAATATCTTGCGGTAAATAGATGACCGACACTTGTCATGTTCTTGAGAAATTATAATCAATAATTGCCACCATTTATTTTATTTCTTTGCCAGTAATTTTCTAAGCATACTCTTTTTTTTACTAAATTTAGGTTTTATGCATGCTATTGTTTGGAAAATAAAGGAGCTAGATTAGTAATCTTTTAAGGCTAAGAAATGTTGGCAGTTCCTTTTTGAAGTGCCATCTAAATTTTTGATGACCATCTATCTTCTGCAGTTATCTACTATTTCAGGGTTTTGAACTTGTAGAATCCTTTTCTTTCTAATGCTGCACTACTCTTAGAAGCAAATAGTTACTCAACACACAGCATATATTCTTAATCTTTTTAAAATTATTCATTATGTTTGATGTAAACTGAAAATTTGAAAGAAATCAATTCATACCGTGATCAATGGCTTTCTATTATAAATTCAAAATCAAGAAAGCCATGGAAGTGATTTAGAATTTATTTTCTTGATGAAAACTAAATTGCATGAAATTTTGATGAAAATCAAATACCCTGTCAAACTTATAACAAAATATTGATCAAGGAATAGTAGAACAAAAAGTTCACTGAAAGAATGCCTTACACTTTTACAAGGGATGATATAAATTCTCATAGAATATTTGAATTATTTAACAAGTTGATCTTGAAATTTGTAGGAATGACAGATCCAACTTGACACACTCTTAAAAAATTATTGGTAGTGGATTAATCTTAACCATATGATTGAGAGAGCTAAGATTCACTTTCTTATGATCTTCATGCAGCAATAATATAACAATAGAATGATTTTTTTGAATCAACACCATCAGATCACCTCTAAATAAATAGTGACAGTTCAATTAAGTTTAAAGGAATCAACCTTTATCTCAAAACCTCAAGTATAATTTGGCGTTTCAATTTAAATCATCTGCAAGCAACAATCATAATGGCGTTTCTAAAAATTATATTTGTATCTCAAAAAATGCAAATCCTGAAGCTGAGGCTTTCATCCATGCATGCATTAATCTAAGATGACCCAACTCCGCTATTGAAAATGAGTAGTTTTTTTTCTCGGCTATTTGACTACCAAGGGCCAAAGCACTTCTCTGATATGGGCATTTCTATATAGCATAGATCTTAAAAACGAAGTGTTCCCTTTATCCATCATGCACCTTATTGAAAGAACCAAGCTACCCTCCATGCTGAATTATAAATATGTTGTGGAAGGTAAGCCATTCTCATTTTTCCCTTTAAATCCATTTACCAAGGTGAAAATTTTGCCTTGTTTTCCTTAAGTGACCAAAATTCATTCCTTCACAAAGGTTTTACTCTCATCGTTCAGTTTGAATTTGTTCACTCTCTTGAGCATCCTAGTGACTTCCTAAGGAAACATTCCTTTTGGAAAGCTCATCTTTTTCCTTAGCTGTATGTTTGCAGTGATTGAGCGTTCACTTTGAACGACATATCCTAAAGAGAGCCATCGATTCAAATCATTTTTGGCACACTAGTTTGGTATTGTATATCAGAATTCTTTCCACTAATTGACCTATTTGTGGCCTAACAATGTGATATGCCGAACATTGGAAAGTTTCACTCTCCCTCACCTCAAATAAGAAAATTCTTCTTCTTCTTCATTTTCACATATAAAAAATTTCTTAACACTTCAAAAGTTGCTAAGCTTGACATTAACTCCACATCCTATTCGGTAGAGAAGCATTCCTTAGGAAATGTTCTCTATTTCTTTGAAAGATTTAGTGCTTTCAGGATTTTATAAGATGTGAGGCTCTAATTTCTTTATTTTTTATCTTCATTTTTTTTTAGGATGAATCGTCAATGAACAATGGGAGGGGTAACTTGCTTTTTATTAGGAATTAATAGTTAATAGGACCTTTCACTAGCAGGACTCTTGAGGATGGCCAAATGTCACACCCTTTTGCTTATTGACTACTACTCTTCGATAATCCTTACATTTTATGGAAGTTTGATTGCTTAGATCTTTAGGAATGGTACCCAAATGCAATTTCATTCTGATGGTTGTTTAACATTAAGGAAGAACTACGAAGATGGAGTCTTGGGATAATACATTTTGAATGCGTTGCCTTCTTCTTACTCAGCATAGATTCACCAATACTTGCTTTTAGGCCTCTTTTGTTGGTCGACTCAGTATCTTTAGATTTTGGAGGAGAGAGATACTTTGGTGATGGCAACAGGATTGGTACTTGCCGACCTTGGAGGTAGCAGGGAGGTTGCAAGGTTGTGTGACAACAGGGAAGGCACAGGAAGGTAGGGGTGGTGGCAGTGAAGAAGCAGGATGGCAAGATGATAGGATGATAGAGGGAAGAAGCAGGGTGGTAGGGTGGCAACAGAGGGAAGAAGCAGGATGACATGGCGACAACGGGAAGAAGCAGGTAGGCACGAAATAAACGAGATAAAACCACTATTTTGGAACAAGATACAATCGGAGCACTGCCTGTCCTCGGATACAACCCTAACAAGGGAAGAGACGCCTAACGAAAATAACTTTGAAATTAGAAAGAACAAAATCGAACCCTAAAACAATCAAACAACCTATATATAGAGCAATAGGAAATAGAAAAAGGGGGGAAGGGCAGGGTTAGTTCCCACCCCTTGAAACAATTGAGCGGTCCAGAAGGAGGCTAGATCAAGTCCTTTGCTGAGTAGGCTACGCCCAACGTCAGACTCCCATAGTTGGGGGAGCTTCAACTTCATCTGCCTAAGTGTTTGGATTTTCGTGATATGATGTCAAGTCAGCGACATTGAATGTGGCTGAAACATTATAGTCCATTAGCTGGTCGATTTTGTAGGCTTTTATCATTTAGTTTTTAAAGTATTTTGAAAGGACCGCTTACTCTTGGCTTGAATTTTTCGAATGCTCCTACTAGGAATTTCTCTTTTTTCAGTCTAATCCACACTAGATTTCCATCTTTAAAGCTCACCTTTTTTTTGTTTTGTTAGCCTATGCTTGGTATTTGCAATTTTGCTTAGTGATCTCATTTCCGACATCCTCGTAGAGTTTTTGAATACCGTGCACCTTCTCCTTAGCTTCCTCACTAATCCCTGACGTCGACAGGAGCAGTTCTAATTCGAGTGGGGTGAGTGGGTTGCGCCCCTATACTCAATCTCAATTGAGATGCAACTTGTAGTCTGACTCATAGATCTATTGTACGTGAACTCAGCTTGAGCAAGAATCAATTCTCACTGCTTGATATTTTTTTCGATGAAGCTTCTTAACAGATTTCCAAGGTCTGTGTTTACTAAGTCCGTCTGAGAATGCACCGCCAAACTGAATTGAAGCTCAGTGTCAATTTTTCTCCAAAGAGTCATCCAGAAGTGACTCAGAAACTTGACATTTCTGTCTACAGTGATGGTCTTGGGTATCCTGTGCAGGCTCACAATCTCCTTGAAGTACAAGTCAGCTACATGCGATGCATTCAGTGTCTGGTGGCAGGGTACGAAATCTGTCTTCTTCTAAAAATGATCCACCCCAACCATGACTGAATCCTTGTTCCACCGCTTCATCGTAAGTTTCACCACAAAATCCATGCTAACGTCAACTCACAGTGCCTCTGGTACTGGTAAGTGGGTGTATAACCCTGCATTGCGTCTTTAGTTTTTGATATATGACAAATTCTGCATTGTCTGATGTGTCGCTTTACATCTTTCATAGTCTGGGCCAAAAGAAATGTTCTCTCACGAGTGCGAGAGCCTTGTCCCTGCAAATTTGTCAATCGAGTCTCCCATTGTGGCTCATCTGAACAATAAATTCTAATCGCAAACATCTAGGAATGCACAATTTACTTTGGTAGAACAAGTAACCATCAACTCTATAGTAGTCCCCGGTGGGCTTCTCTGGACATTGCTTCCAGATTTTTCGAAATCTTCATCAGCTTCGTATTGCTCCTTTACTACCTCAAATTCCACGACTCGCGCCTGCATTGGAATGATCAACAAGCGACGACAACTCAACACATTTGTTACATGGTTCTGACTCCCTGCCTTGTGCTTAAGCACAAATTGGAAAGACGCCAAGAACTCCACTCAAGTTGCATGTCTACCTTTCATTTTACTCTAGTGTTCAAGAATTTCATGGCTTCATAATCCATGAACAACATGAACTCGTTTGTCAGCAGATAATGACTTTAGTGCTCAAGAGCTCTCTCACAATAACATAAAACTCCTTGTTGTGCGTCGAGTAGTTTTTCCTAGAATCATTCAACTTCTCACTGAAAAAGGCGACCTTCCTGGCTCAGCACTCCTCCTGTTCCCACACCGAATGCATCACACTCTACCTTAAACTGTTGGCCGAAGTTTGTAGTGCCAAGATTGACACCTGGGTCACCTTCTCCTTGAGTGCATTGAAACTATTTTGAGCTTTATTTGTCCACTGGAATTTGTCTCCCTTCAAAAGATCTGTCAGAGTGGCGGTGATGGTACTTAAGCTCTTCATGAGTCATTTGTAAAACGATGCTAGTCCCAAAAACTGCCTCAGCTTGGTGAACGATCGCGATGCTGTGGCATCTGGAAAACTTTTTGGCAGGTACTATGTGCTGGAAGTGCTACCATTTTCTGGTTTCTTTTCACTATGATCTGTCGTATTACTCCCCTTTCTTGTCTTGCTAACTCCTCCCGACGTACTTTTGTCCGACGCGATAGCTACATGTGACTGCCTGACTAAAGTCAGGTGACTGAATGATGATTGTTGCATGCTCTGTTTTTGTTGTCTTTCAACTTTCAAGGCTAAAGTTTAAACATTCCCCAATGACCAATATGATTGTAACTGCACAACCATGTTAATAGCGGGTTTCAGGACCCCCAGGTACCGGGCTATAGTGTGTTCCTCTGGCTCAACCAACTCACATTTTGTCTGCAACTGGTCGAACTGTGGTGTGAACTCATCCACTGAAAGGTCTCTGCTACAGGTGGAGTCTCAGAAACATGTTATGGCAGTAATGAGGTGGAAGGTATTTCCTCTCCATCACTTTCTTCATCTTTTCTGATTTGGTAATCTTATCACCACCGTCTCTCTTATTGTCTCTATAAAATCTCCAACCACAAAGATATGTTTTTTTTTCAATTTAATGGCTGCTAATTTCACCTGCTTATCCTTTGGCACCTCCTTATATTTGAAGATTCGCTCAATAGGTTGCAGTTAATCAATAAACTCATCTTGATCCATACTCTCATCGAACTCTGATAGATCCATTTTGATGCCTAAGTTTCCATGTCCTCCATATGTGATATCCTCTCTCAGCCTTTTTTGATATTGAATTCCAAAGCGGTGTGACCAGTATTCCTTGCATTTATGTCTTCCCCGTTGAACAGATTCATATCTTCGCCCCTTTCTCTTGTTGACTCTCTAGATCACAGTCAAGGGTAATCTCCCACTGGTTTTATCATCAATTTCGGTGAGCCTCTGTTGAAGCCGGCATATCTCTATCTATATATCGTCTCAGGTAGGTTCTGACATGTATCTCCGTGGTGGCATGATTTGGGTTTGGGTTTCGAAAAGTGGTTAAGGATAGAAAAGAAAAAAAAAATTGGTGGAGGGGTAATGCAGATGCTAGAAACCCTTAGCATAGGACTAGAGCTAGGCTAGCTTTGATACCAAATACCAAGTGTAATACGAAAACAAGAAAATAAAATTATTATTGTTGGAATTTAGAATGAAACACAATAAGAGTTCATAAAACTGGAAATAAAATGACACAAATACAAATAAGACGCTATGGCGAGGGAAAATGTGATGAACTCCTGTTGGACATCAATTGTGGGGATGTTTTGAGATGCTATGACAACAATTAGGTGGAGGGTAGGGAGGAGGCGACAATAAGGAAGGAGAAGGCGGGGGTTGGTGGCAACAAGGAAGGCACGGGATGTCCCTGGCGGTAGCAGGATAAGTGCTGACGGGACTTGGCGACAACAGGGAAGGCGCAGGAAGCAACGGGCGGTAGTGCCCAAGAAGCAAGATGGCAGGGTGACAGTAGGGAAGAAGAAGGATGGCAGGGCGGCAGCAAGGGAGAAGCAGGGCGGCAGGGTGACAGTAGGCAAGCGACACAGATAAACGAGTTAACCATTACCTCGGAGCAGGATACAGAAATAGCACCACCTGTCCTCGGATAGAGCCCTAACAAGGGAAGAGATGCCTGACGATAGGAACTCTGAAATTAGTAAGAATAAAACTGAATCCTAAAGTACTCAAACAATCCATGTGTAAAGCAAAAGAAAATAGATGAGGGGTTTTTTTGGGGGTGGGGGGGTAGTGGTGGAGGTAGTTCCTACCCCTTGAAACAATCGAGCGGTCCAATAGGAGGCTGGAATAAGTTCTTTGCTAAACCGGTTGGCTGGTTCAGCCGACTAAGCCCCACGTCAGTTTCACTAGAAAATGTCATTGATGCTAGTCTATTTGGCATCAAATCTCTTTTGGAGAATTTCTATCCATCATGTTTCATGGTGTTACACATCATTACATGTATCACTACTCTCAAGGTGTCATGACTTTGATACCAATATATCCAATCACAGACTAGGTTCATGTTTCACAGTCATGTTTCATGGTGTTACACATCACTACATGTGTATTCATAGGCTAGGTTCCTGTCCAACCAAAAAATGTTTCTTATACCAATATATCCAATCAAAACTCCATGTATTAAACAGGTAAAAAATCTCAACATGAACCCAACTCTTCAAATCATGAACTTTATATGACCCAACACGACACACAATATTTAAGTAGTTATGAGTTAATGCCAGCATAATCTGAAATGAAAATGAATACTTTATTTTGACACAACTCGAAAAATAACAGGAATTTGCAATTTCATATGGACTTCATTAAAAATAATTTACTAGTTAAGTAATTGTATTTTGAGTTGGCCTGAACCCGTCTCAATTTTTTTGGAGTTGCTTGCTCTAACTTGACCTAACCCAAATCTTATATTGGCTGACCTGAACTCGGATTATTGCATCGGGTTTTGGTGTTGGATCTAATATTGACGCCCTTAATTGTAACCCATAGTTTGGGCTAATTAAGACATAATAAGTCTTTTTAAGAGATTGACATCTTTATGATGACATGAAAATGCTTTGGTACATCTAATGACTTATCTATGCTCAACCCCAATGGTATTAACGTGGCTTCATCATCTATATTGTAGAATTGGTCAACTGATCTGGTCCAAATGCATTCTTATGCTACACTATAGAACCAAAATAGAGGTCAACAATGTCATAATGAATATATTGAATTAGTCTAGATTTATTATTAATTTGGCTTTTTTTTTTAAATCGTGTCCTTTATAATGACATTAAACATTCACGTTGTCATATCACTTGTGTAAAAGACATTGTAGTGTAACTGTAAGCATTGACTCCAAATTTTCTGCGGGATGAATTAAGGTAGTGTGGATCTACTACCTGAAGCAACAAAAGCATTTAACGTTCATACAGAATTTGCAGGTTGTAAACACTTGATCTTTTACTTCTTCTTTAGTAATTTTGATGAAAATAAAAAAATACAAAGGAAATCAGTTCAAATGAAAGTCCAATTTCCCTTTATTAAATAATGACTAGAAATTGTAAATCAAAGAAGCCATAGACTTAGGGTTGTAAACAAACCAATGCACTTGATGAACAACTGGAACTCGACTCGATTAATACTCGATCATGTTCATTCAAACTAGTAAATAAATAAGCTTCAACAATTTTTAAAAGCACTATACATAAATGAACTAAACATGAACATAGTCAAACTTATCATTTATGTTCAAGAACAAATTCGTTTTTTGTTCAACAAGTAACTTGTTAAATACTCGATATTAAGCTCGAATATAACTCACATCATATATGATATATTATTTAAATAAAATTTAATTTGTTAGAATTCATTTAATTATAATTTTAACAGTTTTATACTATTATATCAATAATATTTTTAGATTAATAATTAATTATATATTTATCTTATTATTAATTATTAATTATTAGAAAATTAACATGATAGAATTCAAAAAGTGAACATCACTTTTTTGTTTATTCTCTTTTGTTATTCTTGATCTAATTGTCTTTTATATTTCTCAATTATTTCTACAATCGATTAATGATTTTGCATTGTGTTATTTTGTAATTCTAGTTCATTTAGATTTTTTTGCTCTTGTTTCAATATTTTTCTCCATCTTAAATTCATTCTTGTGAGAATATATCTATTATAGACACTGGATGACAATATGTGAGTTAGCTCATTTATATGATTTATTTAATTAATTTATTTAGATTTGTAACATTATTTATTACATTTTTAATATGAAAATCTAGATACTCTTTCGAATTTTTAGCTCGTTTATTAGTCGTTTAGGTATTCATTCACTTGTCATAAACAAATAAAATTCAAACATTGAAAAATTTGAACTAGTCAAGATTGAACATTAAGTGAAACTCGAGACATGCTTAAACTAAACATGAATAACTTATAATTGTACCAAGCCGAGTCCCAACTATGATATACATGTCAGTGACACGCTCAACTTGATTATATTGAATTGAGTAAGATCAGTTATGCTCTCATCAAGAACCAAAATTTATTAGAAAAAGAAAATAAGAGAATTAACTCACCAAAAGCAACTCCCATGCTTGTACTAATGCTGTAATCTCTTAAAAAATATTTGAATTTATCACTTGATCAAAGAATTAGCTCTTAAGAGTAGAAGGAATGTCACATGAAACCAGACTTTATTCAAGGAATAGCATATCTAGAGGAATTTCTATATATTTTAGGTGTTTGGGTTTCAATAGTGTTTTCTTGTTTAATATCAAATGCCCCATTCTATTATATTTTTCAAGGGAAAAAGAGTTATTTTTTTATTAAACTAAAGTATTTTGGTGGAAAAGATTAGGGATTTGTTTCATATTTTATTGTATCTCTGAAGATTACATAATAAATAGCTAAATCATAGGAAATTGAAATTATAATTACCTGCTCGTCTATCTGGGATTTTTGTTAGCGGTGGGACATGATATACTTACATAATTGTCTTTTTTGATTTAATAATATCTGATGGATCTTATTTTTCATTAATGTTGATGCTATTTATATAATGTCTACAGCAACGTAGCTGCAGGAAGATTTTTCAGCATTCCGCTACGTGGAACACACTCACATGCATTTGTTAGCTCTTTTATGGTAGGCCTCCCCTTGGTTTGCAGATCAATATTTGCAACTAATATACAGAGCTATGCGTGTATAATATGCAGATAGATAATGAGACCTCTGTTTTGGTTGCACTTTCTGACATATTTCTTCTTGTATGACAATAGCTTGTTATACAATTGTTCCCTTCAAATTTTGGTAATATGAATTTGCTTACAAATTGGACCATATTGTGACACATTCTGTTCAAAACCTTTTTGTAAACAAAATATTTGGAGCATAAAGTGTTAAAACTTCCACACACACACACACACACACACACACACACACAAATACTAACACTGCTACTTAAAAAGGAGTTGCAGTTCTTATCTCTGATCTTTACCTCTTATTTTCTGATAAATAATCCAATTTTGGGCAGAGCAGAAATTTTTCTTTGCGGGGGTACAAGTTGACAGTTATAAAAATACTTCCAATTTTTGCATGCATATCTTTATAATGATTTAGGCATTAGATATGTAGATACATAAGACTCTTGGCATATATGCAAATCCTGAACTATATATTGATAATTAAAGAAGGTAATAATGATTAAGTTGTTATCTCTAAATCATTTCTTCTATTAGCAATCACAGATCATACGATAAATGTCATTTTCCTTGTACCTGATCTTGCATTAAAATGAAAAAGCTTGGAAAGATTTAATTAAGCAGCCTGATGATACTTTTAATAGAGCTGCATATATAAAATCGGGCATTATATATTTTTGATTATATACAGGCTGCTTCATTTTATAGTTAATTTTGATGCGCTTAAAAAAAATAAAAAGAATATAAAAAGTTAGAGTTGTCTTTGGTTAAAGCATAGTTTGCTAACAAATTAAATGACTAACTCAAGCATCAAAATTAAATTGAGGCCCAAAAGTCATACATGCGTACACATTTTCCTTTTTCATTATTTTCTTAAAAAACTTATTTTTTTTGCCACTCATCAATATTTTTCTTATTTAGTTACGAGTACATCAGACTTTTTAGGTCAAATTTTCAGGAATTCATCACAAAAGTTTGTAAAATAAATGTTTGATTGATTAAATATGTATGAAGATTTACGAGTCTGTGACTTGGATAAAGTTTTATGCTTCATCAAATACAATTAATTTTTATCTATATCCACCAATTTCAGATTTATTTTCTTTAGAATAATTTAAGAAATTCATTATGGCATTATCCTACATAAACTCGAATTAAAAGGGTCGTTGCTTCTCAAAGAACTCAAAATCCTTCTAATAATACCTTCCTTATCCTTTGATGTCAGCAAAACTTGACTTGCTCATCCAACTAGTCTATTAAAATTTAAAGAATTTCACAAAGCAGAACAATGTTATCGAATGACTAAAATTTATTTAGCTATGTAATCTTAAATGGTTTTAAATATGAAGTACCTTGCATAGTGTTGGAAGTGATAGGGAAACCTCTTCACTGAGCATTAGACTCCGTGATTGAAATCTGAGACCTTTTGGGCTTTTTCCTTTTGTGAGCTTGAACGTAAGGTGACTAAGTGCAAGAATCAAGTGTCAAGACCAAGAGCCCAAAGTAGATGGGAAAGCTCACATGAGCTTGTCTCTGATGTGTGAATAAAAGAAAAATAGAGGACGACCAAGAGGCAAGGCTCACGAGTTGATTATGAAGTGCTACGTTCTGAGGAGATTGAGCGGCGATCGACAAGTTTGAGCTTGATTAAATTTCAAAGGATTGAAGTAGATATTTTAAGGAAATTTTTTCATTTAATTTCAACATTTAAAATATAAATAAATTAGAGAATTTATAAATTTAGGATAAGAATATTATTTTATATAAATTAGAAATAATAATAATAATAATAATAATAGTAATAATAATAATAATAATTGTTTACCAAATTATAATAAAATATTTGGATAAATTTCAATTTTTTTCCTCTATTGACTAATTTTAAAGTTTTCAAGTTGTAGAATTGAAGTGTAAAAATAAAAATTTGGAATATTATATTGAAATGAAAGGAATATTAAATTTGAAACTAATAGTTTAATCATAGTTTAGAAATAACAGTTTTTCTAAATGTACATTTAATATTTCATGTAGTTATCAAATTAAGAAGGTAAAGACAAATAAGTTAAAAGATTGCAAATTATCTGAAGATAAGGTGAATACTCATATTTTGATGTTATAGTAATATTTTTCTTTATTCTAGATCAAATATATTTGTTACTATTGTCACTAATTAAATTGATATTGTTGCAAATTTATGATTTATCAGTTCTGTTGAATATTTGATCAGATTGAATAAATGAGATTTGCTCTCAACATAGTTAAAATATTCTAGATATTGATTATTATGTAAGTATATAGACTGTTGTACAAATGCAAATGAAATAATAATTTAGATATTGATTAACATAATATGTTAGTATGTTCATGATTAATTGATGGAGTTCACTTTGTATGATATTAGTTGGAGACGTTAAGGTACTGTGCACATATATTATAAAATATTTTTTATATTGTAATACTTTATCTGAAACAGTTTAGAACGGTGCTTCTATGATGAATGTAAACAATAAGATGTAAATATAAATAAGTTATTATAGTATATTACTGAATTTTCTAAGTACTACCTAATGATCAAAATTGAATACCAAAATATTTATTGTTTCTTTTACATTGATTTGATATATTTAACCAACATGTATTCTTTTTATTTCGTTAGGTTATTGTATTTCGAAAGCATGATTATTCATTGGTTGTTGATCGTTCACTATTGTTTTAAATTGAGTAAAAGCCCAAAATAGTACCCCGAATATTAAAAAGGGTACAATTTAGTCCCAAAGTATTAGAATGCTCCAATTTAATTCTAGAATATTAAAAGCTACTCTAAATTGGTCATAAATCATATTTTCCATTAATTTTAATAATGATCTACATGAAATGAAGGGTCTTTTTGTCTTTTATGTAGTTTGCATGTACTTTTTTTATTTATTGCTAAAAAATTATAATTTTGAATTTTTTTAATAAAACTATTCATAACAGTCATCATTTTTTTTTTCAAATAAAAACTTTTAAAATAATCAAGAATTATGTAATAAGAGCTCACTCAATCTGCATTTATATGAATTATTCAATTTCAATTGAATTCTTGATTTTAATATTATTCATTAAATGATGTGTTTTAAAATAGTTAATGTTAACTTGAAAAACTCTTGAATGAATTTGTTTTATGTTTAAAATATTTTGCATTTGAATGATAAAATTTTGTAATTGATGGCAAGCCACTTGTATTTTTTCATAAAATTTTTTTTATAACATATATATATGTAAAAAAAAGCCCAATGGCAATTATATTAAGGAAAAAATGGTACAGATAGTTTGTATTAGTGGACCGAAATAGGCTCCCAACCCACACGGTACAACAAAAAAAAACCCAAAAAAAATGGTACCTATAAGATCAATCGGGACGACCCAATTTAGTTCTGCTTCTAGTTCTCGGAAGGGAACCAACTAACAAATTGGTGAGGTGTGTACCATTACTCGAAGTAACCAAAGTATCATCCATTAGATTCTTTAACTCAAGTAGATTTCCATTCTTCTTCTTCCTGGAAGTATGAACTTGCCATTCCTCATCCGAAGATTGTTGCTCATTCGGATGAGATGGTAGAGTTGTAGTAGAAAGATTGCCAACATTTATACCTACAATAGGTTCTAGTGTATGTGAAGTATAAGTTGTCGCCTCTACACCTGATACTTCCTGAAGATGGGGGAGCTGCAAGGTTCTCCTGATTATCAGTCTGAATACTATCCTTTGTAGGTAAGGATCATTCAGTACTGTTTTCAATAGGATTTGAAAGTAGGTTGCCCAACAGAGCCATCCAACGTCACATCAATCGCAGAAACGGTAATGTCAGGGGGGTCCACAGGGGCAATTAAATCAGACATCAAATCCTGTCATTTGGTAGTTTTCTCTCCAAGTGGAACAGATATGTCCAAAGCTGTGGGGTTAGACCCATCCTTATTCACTTGATCTTTAGATTTCAAATTAGGATGATGCTTATGATATTTATCAAGTGTATGCCCAAACATCTTGCAATGAGAACAATAAGAAGGTCTATGTCCATGACGATTTGTTGCCAATATCTATTATGAGTTATGCCCTACCAGACTTCAGTAATATTGGGTAAAGTAATCTCTTTCCACAAGTATCTTGACCATAGAAGGTCTGATTAGGTTGAAAGTGGGTAGATCTAGCTTCATAGGATCCTCAAGTATGACCCCAATAGAGTAAAGAACCCGATAATGAAAAAAGTGCAGCTTGGGACTAGGTAGGCTAAACCATACCGGTACAGTAGGAGATTCATGATTATGGTCAAAATCAGGTGGTCAAAATCAGGAGACCACTATCAGGAGACCACTTGAGTAACTTTATTGACTTGCCTGCAATGTTAATATATCTTTTGGAGAAAATCCGAGTGTAGTCTTCAGCCACGGTTAATTAAATCAACACATGTTTCTTATCCATGAGTCTCACTTACCACTTTCCTGCTAGTTTGAGATTATCAAAATTTTTTCTGATAACTTCCATAGGTGGGTGCCTCCACTGAAATTTTTCAATAAGAGCAAACTTGAATTTTTCAGTCATGATTGAAATTTCTATGTCAGAGAAAAAAAAATGCTGCTAGAAGAGGCTTTGTCAGGTTCAACCGAAGAAGGGAGTGCCATCAGAGCAGGTAAATCCTCCTGCTAGAAGATGTCGATATAATAGTTGTTGGCGTAGTCTCGAAAACTCGGAAGGCGAACGTCGGTGTCAAAAGAAAGACGCAGACACGAACTGAAGCTGTCAGGAAGAGAGAGGCGAGCGTCGGCATCGAAACAAAGGAGGCAAAATGGTGCAGACGCGAACGGTGGAACTGTCGGAGTCGAAATCGAACAAGCGAGAGCACACACAACCGTCGGCGTTGAAGAATGCAGTAACGACGCGAGCCGACGAAGCAGAGGAAGTGAGGA